GGTGGTTAATGTAACCAATACTAATACCTTTCTTTCAGTTCTTTTATTCGTTTTCTATATCCCTTCACCATCACCCCATATCCCATCATTTTGACGAGAGATGACTTACTTGCATGGTGCAAGCCCAAGTCGTACTATAGGATAATATGCTGAGCGTGGTTCTATCACAGATCGATAGAACTGAGGAATAATGAGGTAAATTCTACACAGTATTTTAAAGGAACCAACTCTAAGCAGGTAATAATAGCACTTAATAATCAAACAACCATAAAAAGGTAAGAATGAATTTATTTATTTTAAATACAGTAATGACCCGATTTTGTCAGCCGCTCCGCGCTTCAGATTTTTTTTCTTTCAATAATTTCACATAATCATAAATCTAAATTTTTCTCATTCGTCATTCGTTAAGAGGTATATTTAAAGTATACTTTGGTGCAATAGTTTCAAGAAGATAACTGAAAAAGGGCATGGGTTTTGTAGAACATTGGAAAACATTTTCAAAAAGGGGGTTGACAAAATCGGGACATTACTGTATTCCATTTACATTTACATGATTTATCACATATTTCCGGAGAGCTTCGAGGTTGGAGCGTAGTTGCTTTTGTAGATGGGCACGTCATTTGTCGGTTTCTCGCGGATTGGGGCTCAGTCTGGAAAAACCAATAACACAAACAGGTAGAATAATAGTTCCTCTATGATTTGTTATAGTTTGTTTGCAGGATTGTTCTTCTGTTCGCGGGAGGCCGACGATTGACGTGTTTGTTTGTAGGGGCGATTGCGCCCAGATCTCGGATTCTCGATTCTCCGGATTTATGGTCGTAATCTAATACACACAGTTGATCACAATACGAGCCTAAAAGCTGCAGTGACCTACACGGAACCGAATTTTTTTCATTTAAATCAAAAATATAAATGTTCATTTTATAAAAATATGAATAATTCAAAATAAATTAAAAACATGTTTGCAACAAAAATATATATGTTTGAATTAAAGTCAAAAGCATGTTTATTTCAACAATATAGAATTTGGGTAAACGATTTTTAGCGTGCCATGCCTTTTTTCCAACTGAAAACGGCCCGCCAAAAATCCATGTCATGGATCCGGAAACCGACCTAGGTAAGTGTCTTAAAGTTCCAGCTCGTTAAAACCGGAGGAACCCCACAGTATCGATGTCACTCTGTCGTTTCTGATGCCGATCCCTGTATCATCCTCCTCCACAACTGACGTCGAAAGAAAAACGAAAATCCGAAATAGATTTTGAGTCTATTCCGGATCCTCCAGCCCGGAATGTGTTGCCTGAATGTTAGCTGTGAATCCAACACCACACCCAGGTCTTTCACCTGATTCACGCGTACGAGTGTCGTTCCAAGCAGGTCATAGCTGAATACAATCGGTTGCTTTTTTTTCGTGAGAACGTTATGGCAGAGCACTTTGCTGGGTTCACTACCATTCGATTTAAAGTACACCAACTGGCGAAGACATTAAGCTGATGTTGAAGATTGTGGCAGTCAGCGATCGTGCAAATTCGTAAAAATATTTTGAGGTCGTCTGCATATGATAATCGAGGTCCTTCGATAACCAGAGTCACGTCGTTGAAGTAGAGTAGAAAAATCAACGGTCCCAGATGGCTTCCCTGCGGTATACCTGATGTGGCAAAGAAGCTAGCTGAATTGCAATCTCCTATAGCAACCATAAGTTGGCGACCAGTAAGATACGAACGGAACCAACTCAAGAGATTACCGCTCACCCCAAACCTGTCGAGTTTAGCAATCGCAATGTCATGATTCAACTTATCGAATGCCGCGGATAGATCGGTATATATAATGTCCGTCTGTACCCGTTCAGTCATACTATCGGTAATGTAGGATGTGAGGCATCGCAGATTGGTGGTTGTAGAGCGACCGCCAGTAAACCCGTGTTGATCAGCACTCAGATACTGCTTGCTGTGAGAGAGCAACGGTTCCATAATAACAAGCTCGAATAGTTACGAAACAGCACTCAGCGATGTAATTCCACGATAGTTATCCACGGCTCGTTTGCTTCCCTTTTTGTGGACAGGAAACATGTGTGCAAATTTCCAGGAGGATGGAAATATACCACTGGAGAGGGACATATGGAATAGACGGTGAAGTGGAGTTAACAAGCAAGCAATATGTTTCTTCAAAAACACAGACGGAACTCCATCGGGTCCAGGGTTGAAGGACGATTTGAGCTGCGTTGCAGCGTTAGAAATCATCTCAGCGTTGACATTAATTGCACCCAGCCGTCGACCCATCAACTCATGAACCGGGGACCAACGGCTTCACTTCCCTTCCGAAGGAAGACGTGATCAGAGATGTTATGCCTCAGAACATCCCGGCGGCGCCGACTGTGATTGAACACAGGCCTGCTGGAGTGAGAGGTAATCACGCTTACCACTACACCACCGGCGCCGCTTAGGGAGAATATTTTAAAAACGCTTTTATTTAACGAATAAAGTATTTTCTATAAATTTGGTTGTGCATAGAGAGGTTAGAAGGTTAGACTTAAGATCTTAACGAAAACTAAGAAAAAACTAAAAAAATAAAATTATACGTCTATCGGGTAGCTTTTGAGGAGGGTAGCAGTTTTTAAAATTTCTTTCCTACACAGAAATTCAAAACAACCCAAAATTAAGTTCTTTTCACTCATCTCCCATGTTCCCAAGCCAAATTTGAGTAAACCGGCTCAAAGGAGTTTGCATTTAAGCACGGCAAAAAAAAAAATTACCCATCGCTAAGTTATTTTCAATTTTTTCTACCCAAAATTAAGTTCAATTAACTCAAATTTGGGTATATCGCATATTACTCAATTTTAGCTTCTCGTACGGAACTAGACGGTTGAGTCGAATCTTTCGTTCTATTTTTGACAACAATAGCGAGAGGAAATGAAACGGGCAGAGGTCAAATAACTCAAATTTGAGTTTAAAAAACCCAAGCGGTGTTGGAGTATTAATTTAATCTTTCCGTGTGAGTTGATTCTGAACCATTTCAAGTAAACTATATTTAGAGTGCAGGATAGAGGAGATTAGTGTACACTGTGCTTACCAGGTGCATGGTATACACCAGAATGTTCACAGCAATCACTAGTGCTCTATTACCAAGCTAGGATAGGATGTTGCCCAGAACTATGTAAAAATGTAATTTTGAGATGAAACACAGATGAATAAAGGTCGATGATTAATTGAATTTATTCCGTGTTGATCTATGCTTTATTTTTGATAATCGGGTAGTGGTATCACCCCGATTCTATGAGAAAAGCTTCTTTTACAGGTTCGGCTTCACCTTGCGGATGCTATTTGTGGTTAGGGTTGGCAAGTCCACTGCCGGTGATCGATAGAGCTGAGGAGGAGGAAATCCGTTAGGATTCAATCCTATCAGCACTGTCTGCTAACAGGTTATGGGCCCAGACAGCAAATCAGACTTTGAACTTGAATAAGAGGACGAAGTGATTTATTTGAGAGCTAATCAGATTGGAGACATTTATTTCCATTGAAAAGTTTCTCATTTATTTCACTACGACTTTCCAGTTGGAAGCTAATGACTGCAATCCAGTTGAAGACATTTTTTCATTGGATATTTGCAATTGCTACGCTTCATTGACGAACAGACTTGCTTTCCAGTTGGAAGCTATTGAGTGCAATCCAGTTGAAGACAATTTTTTCATTGGATGTTTGCAATTATTACGCTTCGCTGACGACAAGACTCCATTTCCGTTGAAAAAGTATTTTGCTATTTTCCCAGACTTACTGAGTAAAAATGGACAACAGACTTCGTCGGGCTGTGGTTCCTGTCTTTAGGGGCGATGAAAAAGCTTTTCCACGAATGGAACTCTGTTTCAAATTTCTTTGGATGTGTTGAAGATGTTTCGAAGAGCTCCACAAATAAAAAACGGAGAACTTCATAGAGAACAGTAAAGTTTATGGAACTTGATGATTACAAACATGTTTTAGAACTGTGCGTTGCGCTGATCGTGTTGCAGTTTTATTTTTGACAGTTTCAAATTATAGAATTGACGAGTAGTTTAAAACAATTTTGAAACTCAGCATTGCGAACGGCCTTAGAACGCCAATTCGATACACAAACACAGAATAATATACACATAAAAACTGAAGAGGCATCTTTAATAAAAACTAGCATCAAATGCGCAAAAACTTCAAAGTTTATAATAATTAACTATTTAATTCGAGTAGTTAAAAATTACATTTCCTACCACTCGAACTTTGAAATAAAACAATATTTTGATTTTTTTTTTCTTCTAGAACCACGAGAAAAGTCATCGAAGAGAAAGAACTACCCTAAATTTAAGTTCTTTTTACATACTTTTGGGTAATTTTGAGTTTTGCATCCCACTCTGACTTTTTGTTCTTGTCAAAAACGGAACGAGAGATTCGATTTTCTCATGAATATTGTTCAATAAGCTGCTAGTGAGTATATGAGATATTCTCAAAATTTAGTCAATTGAACTTAATTTTGGGTAGAAAATACTCACGAGTAAGTAATTATTTTTGCCGTAGTCTATACTACTATAAGCGGTTTACTAAAAATCAGCTTATTGAACGGAACATGGGAGATGAGTGAAAAGAACTTAATTTTGGGTAATTTTTCGGTTCCGTGTATACTTCATATCAAGAGCCACATGTGAAAAGGGCATACGAACTTTTTGTAAACAAACATTTGTAGGCCTTTTCTCGCCAACCGGGGGTCGCCCACGCAAACCAACAACATATTCGGGAAGGGGAAAGTTTTCTCTACCCGGTGATGTTGATCGTTTGCGTAAGTGTCATGTGGGTGGCGAGAAATGGACTTTAAAAAGGTTTGCTTACAAAATACATGTGTGCCCTTTTCACATGTTGTTCTTGATATGGAGAAATTTCTTTCTCTTCGATGAAACTTATGCCCGGAATTCAGCTGCAAGTTTGTGAAATCGCTGGAGGAAAGTCATTGGAATTTAATAATGCAATAAATCTACAATAAAATACCTTTTTTACTCCTCGGTACGCATAAACATACAATTCTTTTCCATAGTTGAAGCATATTCTATCACCTCCAATTGGAGATGAACTGTTTGATGATAGCCCAGTACTGATGTTTTGGGTTTGTTCCAGGCCATTTGGAGAGGCCACTGTTGCTGAGCCTCCAGAAATCGTTGGTTGAGGATTTGCATTTACACCATGATTGTTGCTACTTCCTGACAATTGCTGGGATACCTGTGAGGGTAGGGTCACCAAAGAAACTCTCACTTGGGGGTTGTTCTGATTATTTTGATATCCAACACGATTTGGCCGCGAGTATTCCGACAGCGTCATCAACCTATACTCGCCTTCACGAGTCACAAACTGTGTTTTCAAATCATCTTTACCACTCGAATCAACCAGTTGGACCGACATTTCCTTCACCGAATTTTAAATGATAACAATTTCAAACATGCGATGATGGTAAAATTATATAAATTGCATATTTAAGTCACCACACACTTCAATGCTTCAGAACGTTCAATTAACTTTTAAGCAAGCTGAAGAAGAAAAATGACAACCACGAGTATACACGGTAAGAAAAAAGTTCTCAAAAGTATACACGCTAAGATGCACATCCCTTAAAATTCGGTAAATTCACGATAACTTGAAAGTACCCATTAATGGTTGAAAAAGACCCATTTTGAAGAAAAGTGGCTTAACTCATTAAATGAGTAAATTTTTTACCCATTAATGAGTATCTGTTACCCATTAATGAGTAATTGTTAATCATTAATGGGTAACAGATACTCATTAATGGGTAAAATTGTTTAATCATTAATGAGTTAAGCCACTTTTCTTCAAAATGGGTCTTTTTTTACTCATTAATGAGTACTTTCAAGTTAGCGTGAAGAATACCCGCATAAACAATAACCATAAGAAGAGCCTAACCACCAATTCGGGATATCATCCCAACTTTATGCGGTATGGTCGTACCATCTATGATATCGTTAGTTTATGGTATCCGTTTATTAGGGTATCTACACTAAAAAAATATTGAAATATAAATAGGGTAGAGCGCTACTTCGTCGTAATCGCCCATTTCCGCCGAGGGCGGCGACACATCTAAATCTCAATTCTAGATGCTCAAAAAATCTCACACTAGCGAATAAATCTTCGAAAAATCTTCTATCATTTCTCGCATCTACTTGCATCACGCATCATGTTTTTGCAGGAAATCTTCAAAATCGTGATAAATCTTCTTTCTATCTACTCAGTGTAAGCGCAGCTTGCCACAGCAAAACATAATATCAGGCATAACATTTGATAACGGCACAAAAGCATTTGTAAACAAACCTTCTAAGGCCCTTTACACGCGAACCAAAGTACGCCCACGCAAACCAACAACATCGTCGCATAGGGGCAACTATCACCTTTCCGAAAGTGGTATTGGTTTGCGTGGGCGTACTTTAGTTCGCGTGTAAAGGGTCTTAGAAGGTTTGTTTACAAATGCTTTTGTGCTGTTATCAAATGTTATGCCTGATATCGTAGATAGAGTCGTCCCCCTCGATTTCCATAGAATGAATCCGGAGCAGGCAATTTGTATTTCTTTGAATAAAAATCAAAACAAAAACCCTCCCGCAACTGAAAATACCGGTGAGTGGATTTGGCTCAGTCACGGATACGAATTTTGTTCATTTAAAACAAAAATATAAATGTTTATACTCTAAACATATGAATTATTCAAAGTAAATTGAAAGCATGTTTAAAACTAAAATATTAATGTTTGAATTAAATTCAAAAGCATGTTTATTTCAACAATATAGGATTTGGGTAAACGGTTTTTAGCGTGTCATGCCTTTTTATTTCCTTCTTGTTACATTCGGAAAGAGTTGCCCCAGCTTTGCTCAACCTCAACAGAAAACGGCCATCCATTCCGGTTCCTCCTCCGATACCGAACATGGAAAGAAACCGGTATGAGGACCAGTGGCAGAAACCGGGGCAAAACGACGCTAATAACACAAATTTACACCGGTTCCACTGAACTGGAACCCCCGGACACCAACCCCGACGGGTCTTCGCATCCCGGACCAGGACCCCAATACCCACAGGTCACCCTTAATCATACCCAAAAAAGAGCAGGAATTAAGATGCCCTGGCCGAAGATCTTTTTTTGTTTTCATTTCTTTGCAAACCATTTTATCTGCACTCAACTACTAAAATAATTCCAAAATATGTATGTTTATTTTAAACATGAAAAGCATGTTTAAAATAAACATAATATTATTATGATATTATTTATTATTGTTCGCATAGCTGTCAAACCAATCAAAAATAAATACGTTTATTTTCAACACGAATATTTTTGAAATAAACGTAACATTATTTTTATTTTAAACATTGATTTCACATGACTTCAAACATGGAATACGTTTGAAATCAACCTAATTTATGTTTGGGGCCAGAACAAACTGAGTTTACGTTTAAATTTACCTCAAATATTTTTGTTACGACGATAGTTTTTTCTGCGTGGTCTACGCGAGAACGTCGTTTACTCAAAAGTGAGTCAACATAATGCTACTCAATTTTGAGTAGCCCTGTACCTGCCGCAGAGATGAGTACATTTGACTCAATTTTGAGTTGACCAGAATAAGCGTGTACAAAAATACCTATTTCCGCTAAAAGCTGGGGGGAACGTGCTGTCAAATCAGCCTACTGATCATTCTTGTATGAAACTGGCTCCAAACGTAAACAATCGCTGTAGGTTTCTTATGGCTTGTTTACCTTTGGAACCAGTTATGCGAGGCATGCGAGGTAGGCGACGATTGTTCGTATTGGACAGCCACCTCCCCCCTTGGCTAAAAGAGCCCCTCCGCATTTAATGGGTAAACTATGGTTTACTCGTTAATAGGAAAATGGGTGGTATGTCAATAAATGGGTGTTTTTTTACCCATTTTATTGAATCGCGTTTACCGTAAAATGGGTGAAAAATACCCATTTTCCAAATGGAGGATGCAATTGCTTGGTTATCTGTCGTCGTTGATACAAAAAAAAACTTTCTAATATTGGCGATCTAACGATAGCGCTCGTGGAGAATAGGAGAAATAGAAAAATGATGATGGTCTTAAAATTTTGCACGTTGAGGTATAGGAAAGAAATCTTGAAAAGCATTTATTATCCGAAAAAATATATTTGTCATTTTTTAAAAGCTGCTACGGGGGAAGACATCTCAAAAAGTATCCGATAGACGCACAATTTTAAAATTTTATGTTTTTTCTTAGTTTTCGTTTTTATCTTTCGATCTGAACTTCTAACTAAAATATTCTCCCATACCTCGCCGTGCAAAGTTATGATCACAAACGAAGTGACAGACGACTAACTGGCGAAGAAATTAATTAAAATAATGTGGTTCGCTGTAATAGAATTTTCTTGGAAGCTTGTGCCATCATCCACCAGATGGGATAGTATTTTTGTTTTGGTTTTGCACAAAGTTGATTTTGTGTACAATGATTCTTTGACAGTGTGCAAAGAGTGCGTATCATTTTGTCATTTTTTATGCATTCCAGTTTTGAGTAGAGTGAAAGAGATAGAACCAAAACATTCTAGTACATTTGGTGAAAATGCTAGTTCAATCCAGTAGTAGACCAACAGCAGCGTTTGAGAGTAGGCAGCATGTGCCGGGCTCAAAACGTTCATTTTGCTGTGCTGGGCCCGCTGTCATGGTATAGGATGCTGCACGCTGACGTCACGAATAAACGCGATGAACCCGAATTCATCAGTTTGACATCCAGTGGTGGTTTGTTTACCTTTGCTTGTTAGTCAATTCAAGTGGATTTGAGGTTTTAAATAAAAATAATTAATAGATATGATATCCGACTATGTTCGTTTGAAAAATATTCCTCTCCTATAAAATCTAAAAAAAAATTAATAAATTTGTTAAACTTTTTTTCTAAGTCCATGTAACCCACACGAATTAATTATATGATTTGAGTAGTAGCTATACTGAAGATCCGAAAGATGTCGCCCCTTCAGTGGTAGGAAAATCATTTTTGCAGTATGGAGAATATCAGAAAATCCACGATTTGTGACTAAACATGCTTTCACAGAGGGAAACAAATAAACGAGTGTTTACCTTATCACCATAGTAATGTACTCGTGCAATTTTTGTGCATCTAAAACTGCCCATAAAGGCGATAATGAATAAAAACTGAAAATTTTCATGCATTTCCAAATGGTTTCCTACCATTCCCATACATTCGAAAGTGACTGGCCCTCTGGATGTGGATGATGTCAAAAACAACAAAACATGATTAATTGCCGGCGAAAAAGTGACGTCATTTGACATTGAGCGACTTGAAGACTGATCGTTCGCCCTTTGTTCGGAATGCGGACGAAGGGCGACTCGCCCCGCTAGAGTAATTTCATCCGCCGGGCGACCAAATGGCGCTCCGGGATGCGGACGAAGGGCGACTCGCCCCGCTAGAGTAATTTCATGCGCCGGGCTACCAAATGGCGCTCCGGGATCCGGACGAAATGCGACTCGCCCCGCTAGAGTAATTTCATCCGCCGGGCGACCAAATGGCGGATGGAACTTAGCAATTTTTTTGTGATTTTTTTCGCGGCGACTGATTACGTGGTCAGTCGTTTTTTCATATCGTGCGTGTATAGACGCGTTTATCCGCGTCGTGAAATTTGCCTCCGATGGCAAAGTTGATGGTAAGTACTGAACAGTTTGATATTAAGTGTAATTATTATTAAAAATTGATTCGCTGGAGGAATCCCGGCTGAGTTAAACATTCTTACTGATGCAACGCATCAATAAGGATGTTTAATTCATCCGGATTCGTCCGGCGGATCAATTTTGATGTAATTTATTGTTTTCCAAAATTGATCCGCTAGAGGAATCCGGCTGAGTTGAGCATCCTTATTGATGCGTTGCATCAGTTAGGATGCATAACTCAGCCGGATTCCTCCAGCGGATCAATTTTGGAAATTAATTACAAATTGAAATTAATTACAAATTGACAGATGAAAAAATTTGATGATTTTTTAAAAAACTTTTTTTCAGCCGACTGCTTCCACTAATTACGCCGGCTGCTTCCACTGATCCGCTGGAGGAATCCTTACCGATGCAACGCATGCCGATGCCGGATCCCGATGTTTATGTTTAAGGTTAAGTTAAGTTAAATTTTTATTAAAATTAAGTAAAAGTTAAAGGTATTTCAATGTTCAGTTAAAGTAAAGTTAAAATTATGTTGAAGTTAAGTTAAAGTTCGGCTAATTAAGTTAGAGTTATGTTAATTTTATGCTACAATTATGTTAAAGTAAAGTTAAAGTTAAGTTCATGTTATAGTTATGTTAATGGTAAGATAAACATTTGTTAAAACAAAAGTTAAAATTTAGTTAATGCTACGTTAAAATTAAGCTAGAGTTAAGTTAAGGTTATGTTTAAGTTAAGTTAAAGGTAAGTTACAGTTATGTTTATGTTAAGATAAAGTTAAGTTAATTTATGTTTAAGATAAAGTTAAGTTAAAGGTAAGTTAAAATTATGTTGAAG